TCACAAATTACTATTTTGAGATCTCAGAACAATAAAAAAAAATATATATATATAAGCAATTTTTCTAAAAAAGAATTATACATGTTTGAAAAAAGTCTCCACAGTGTTGAAGGAAATGAATACTTCGGCATCGGCTTTGTTCTCCCGCCAGACATTTCCCAGAATATCAGACATTTCCTAGGAACAAAGGCTTCATAACATACAGCATTTCAATTTTTCTGTTATTATAGACCAAAATAAGAATTATCAAAAGATACATGGTATCAGAGCAGCACTTGAATTTTTCATATCCCAGGATGTAGAATATACTCTTCCTGCTGCAACTGTTGATGCAATAATAAATTAAATGAAAAAATAGTAAGTGATGCTATCACTGAATTCCCTGTTACATTCTAAGTAGAGAAAATCCCACTGATAGATCTTCATGTATTTCATTCATAAAACCCCTTGATGCTTGAGACTGATGATTTCAGTTTTAAAGGATCATGTTTTTGTTTAGTAACTCCATTACTCTCTTAATTACTCCTTGCTGTGACTGATAAAGACCTTTTTATCCCAGAGTTTGGGATGTTCAACGAAGTCACAGAACAGTTAGGCTGGAAGGGACCTCTGGAAATCAGGCAGTCATATTCCCTATTCGAATCAAGGCTAATGTCAAAGTAATATTGAGCTGTGCAGGACCTTATCCAGTTCAGTTCTGTCTACATACTAGAGCTTCAGCTCAGCAGAGACCAGTCCTTCGAAAGCTGGGAAATACAAAGAAAAAGCATCACAGTGCCATTCTAAAATTGCTTTGCTGAAGCTACCAAAAGACACCAAGAGTTTTCCAGGCTCCAGCCCGAATGGCTGCACCAAGTTTAGAGGGTGGAGGGTTTCACTGCAGCAGGCCAGCAGAGCTGTGAAACCAGTGCAGGCCAGCAACATGACGGAGGAAAGGCTACATGAATATGATATGACAAAGAGGTACAGCAGTGTTGGCAAAAGATGGTGACAAATGATTTAAACCATTCTATGATTCTGGCTCAGAATCTTCTTTGCTATAGGGAAGTGTCTGCAAGTAAATGGTACACAAGGATGGGTTGAGTGTTTGATGATGGGATCAGTGAAAGCAGAGCATTTAAAAGCACTAAGGAGTTGTAAAATTTGTCCATGTAGATTTGCCACAGAGAAGCCTCAGAATTTGACTGGTCAGTGAGGTGTTTTTGAGAATTTGCCCAAACATAAGTAATATCAAATCAAAGACGGTCTGAGGATCTCTTATATGTGTTTTTATTCTTGGGCAACCTGCTCTCTCTGCAGATACCTGATTTTCCTGCACAGTGGCCCAGTAGAAGGCACCTACTTGTAAACTGACTGTAGTAAGGGCAGATTTGCAGTTAGGTTCAAGTCCATCTGCTGGACTTCATGGACTCATTGATTTACCTTGAGGTTGACCTAGACACTGGTTCACATGAAGGAAAGAAAGATGTTCAGCTCTAAGGAAAAGGCAGCTTATTGCTCCCTTCTTTTACCTGCTCCCTAGTTCACGGGCACAGGAAAAGAGAAGTGGTGACAGCCAATGACTTCTGTAGACACAGGGCTGAATGAAATCCAGCTTACTTGTACACAGGAGCAGAGACAGAGGAATAAAAATGCCCTCACTGTCCCAAAATATGCCTGTGGCCTTTTTCCAACTGTTGTGACCCTTCTCAACCATGGTTCTCCCTTCAGGTTTCCACTGGAGTCCTTATGGTTTTTTTCCAGAACTCAACCAATCTCCTCTTTTCCACTAATTCCTCATAGAAATCAGTAAGCACCTCATGTATTCGCTTATTTTTACTCTTAATATTGCCTGAAAGTTTATATCATATTTGAATCATGTTTTACACGTTATTTTAAATATGTATTTTCAATTAAATAACAGCCAATCCTTTCAAATCTGAATCCTCAGGAAGACATATTGTGAACACCTGCCCAGTCACTTCTCTGATTTTTTAGTAAAGACAGTTTCCAAATTCACAATAGCTAGGTGTAAGTCAGATTCTGAGACACTAATATCTTTGGAAACTGGTAGGGGAAACCATTTTGGCAAAGTATTTCTGCACACACGAATTCCATTTGCTTGGGGAACAAAATGCTATGCTTGACAATGCGTTACATTCAGCCTCCCCAGAGGCTGAGATGAGAGATGTAGAGTCTACTCATAAGTGAGGAAAAGAAACAGATCAGCCAAGGAGCTACCAAAAGCAACCAAAACACAAAAAAACATGATGGAATCTGTGTACGTCAAGAATTGCTATAGGGTCTGCTCACATCTTCCTCCCTGGAGACTGTATCTCAGAAATCTCTTGCTCAAATGATCCCAAGTTTTCATCAGTTAATCACTTTGCACAGCACCCGATGGATTTCACAGTAATCCAAAGCAGCACAAAGACTTCTGAGTCCTTATACTGCAGCCAAACAGTCCTGCAGTATACCCCAGGGTTCTGGTCCCTCCATCACCTGGGGACCCGGCCAGGCACTCTGCAGGGCCCATCTGCTGCACACAGATGGGCTTCCTTGCAAAGGAAACAAAAGCAGGAGGGAGGGGCTGCCACACATCCTAGTTATGCCCTGATATGCCCTAGACAGACTGTGACCAGGGTAGATACCTCTCCTCAGACATCAGATATACTCCCAGGTCACTCTAGAAACAGTCCTAGAAAACCTGCTTTTTAAACTCATGGGACTCTGTGGCAGAATTGGTGCTCTGCTTTGCTCTAATACACATGGAACCTTTAGCAGAGGAGTGGAAATGTAGGATCATGCTTAATTACTTATTTTTAAATGTGCGACAGATAGGCGACAATTTGAATGTCTAGACTATAATTTACATAAATACATTTTAAACCAAAACATTTTAAAATTATTTCTTTCCTGCTTCTATGCTTAAATGCTTTGCTGGATTGGGGCCAGACTGCAGGATCAAGCCGAAGGTGCATAAATCAAACCTTCAAAGAAATGTAATGTTCACAAAGACTGTATTGGGTTGAGCAAATTTAGAAGAATGAAACCAACTATGAACAGAAATTAGATTGGCTAAAAATTAATAAAGCACAGCTGGAATTATTTGATTCATCCGTATTTGTTGCTTAAATGGCTCTAGGGCTGAGTTTTGCTGAAAGAAGATACTTCAAGACTCTGGGGTCAATTGCTTTTGGAGACAAATTGACCTACAGGAATACACTTGTCTAATTTGGTTCTTGCAGTGGGGCAAGTCTACAGAAATACATAACCAAAAAACCAATTTAGATTCCAGTGAGCGGATATCAGAGGTCAAGTTTAAGGTTCCCACCAATTTACATATATATACTAAAAGATTAATAACTTTTCAAGCTACTGGATTTCTTTGCTAAAAGCAAAGACTTATAGATAAAATCTGAGAGAGAAACAACATGTGCTTATTCCACATTCTGTTTGATAGATACCATGCAGTCAGCTCATTGCTTGTTGCTGTGGCTAGCCCTGCGATATTTTATACAGTTTGGTCATAGGGAGTTGCAAGTAACTCTACTGCTGTTCAGCTCCTAGAAGAAAGCATGTTCAGATCTCACCATCATTAATTTTGAAACTAATTTTCTGTGCCAGATCAAATATTACACTTTTAGTTAACTGGTCTTACTACTATTAGTTATACTCTGTGATCTCTACTCAGCCACATAGTTACTGTACAGTTTTCAATGAGGCCTTCTGAATATGGTTATCCAATCTAAATATAAAGCTTTTCCTTTAGCCAGATTGTATACATTCATACATTGGTATTGTTTCCTATTCAAAATTAAAAATTCACTTTATAAACTATCACAAAATGGACCAGTATTATCATACAGAAATACACTTTAAAATAGAAAATTATTTTAAATGTACATAAGCCCTAAAGCTGGCATTGACCTTTTAAGAAATCTACAAAACTTCAGTCCAGAATTTACTTGGCCATGCAATGAAAATTTCACTCTCAGTCAAACCTTGAAAGACAAGAGTAATTTTTATCCTCAAGTTGCAGTCTCCCAAATTTAGTCAAAACTAGAATAAGATTTCCAGTTGGGCAATTTACCAGGAGTGAAAATGAAAAAATAAATTCACACATTACACAGTAAATTACCGGAAATCTGACCACTGAGAAGTATATTGGAAATAGATAGAAAAATACCTTCAATAACTTCAACAGTTTTTCTCTTTTTTTTCTCATTTTACTATTACCAGGATCAATAAATATTCATAAATAAATTATGTGTCAACAAATGTATAAATCCAGACTCCATTATCTTCAGAAAATTTACAAGGCAGTTAAGGCACACTCTTGTTTGGAATTGGTTTCAGACACACTAGTGGTCAGAAAGAAAGAATATACAACTACATTAATCTTTTTTAGTCCTCTTTTTTTAAAGCCACACAAGTTTGGGATGTTTTCTACATTTTCCTTTTCAAATCATGGAACTAATCATATTTCATAAAAGCATGTAAAAAAACCCACAAAAAAAACCTTCAAAACACAGAACACCTTACATGGGAGGTGCACTGCCCTGAGACTTTTAAAAGGCAAAGGCCCAAAAGTGGAAAAATCATGTGATGCAAACAAGAGCAAAAGAATAATTTTATTGTAGGACCCCACACAGGGTTTGGTTGGTTTGTTGGGTTTGACTTTTTTACAATAATCCATTCTTTATTTCTTAAGTGATTAAGAAACTATATATCTTCACAATCATTAAGTAAAGAGATCCTAGAAACGTGAATAAATTTCTGCCTAAAATAAGCAACTTCTCTTTAAAAGAAGGATATTCAGAACTCTAGAAAAGTAAATTTGAAATAAGTTTGCTCTACTGCAGCTCTGGATGCATTCAAAGTAGAAGGATTATATTATTTGTAAAACATCACACCATTTTTATGATGCAGCTAGTTTAGACCCCATATATCAGTATTATTTGTATGCCCAAAAGCTTCTGGTTATCTCAGCACTACAAATAAAGCATTAGTGAGTTTACCTGTATAGTCCTCTGAGTGCCATCAATGGTGACAGACAATAAGGGTGAAGCCAGGTTCCACTCGCTGGTCACATTTAGTTTCATCCCATCAACTTCCACCTGTTGTGACACCAAACAAGGCTGTTACCATAAAGACAGACAGAAAACTGATCTCAAGTTCATTACTGCATACAAAGCAGCAACCATTTTAAAACAGATGGCTCCCAAACAACCTGTCATGTTTACTGCTTCTGCCATAAAAGACAGGGTCCAACAACAGAGTCTTCCAGCTATCTCTGGGGAGAGGTGAAGGACCTGTGAACAGCTGCCTCTGAGTAGCAAGGTTTCAAGTGATTTCCAGCAAGTAACAAACAGCCATCCAACTTTTAAACCTATCTGGACATGCTACATTTACTGCAATTAGACAAGTAATGCATATAAATTCCAGTGACACCTTGCAACCCACACAACAGGGCTTGCATATAATATTCTCTCCAAGGACCAAGGAAGAACTTTTCCTGTGCTTCTAATGAAGGGTTTTGCATTGTTATCTTAATTAATATGAGGCAGTAATTAATTCTTCGGTGTTTTGCCTCAAAGTCTAGGAAAACTTTGCAAATTCTGCCATGTTTTCTTCCAATATACAGCTAATCAGAGGCACACAATTTCTGAGTGAATTCCAGAAAGTCTTTTTTTATATATATAAATCATTCCATGTTCTTTACACAAAAATATCTCTAGGTGAAAAGCAAATATTCTCAGTTCTGAAGAAGTAATTGAAGTGGCTGTAATGACACTTCTGTCATTCTTCTATTGTAAAGTACAGTTTTAAAACATACATCACACATTCAACATGAAGAGCTGGATTATGAAAAATAAAAATTACTATATATGGATTAATATTATTAATGATCAATATTTGTGGCATGTTTTGAACACTCATCATGCTATCCAAGGTAAGTAAATATGATTTCAGTTATATATTTTAATAAAAACAGAAGAAAAAACATAGTTGGCCGATTTCCTTTCTCTCTCAAAATCTCTGAAATATACTCAATTAGTAAATTACAGACAATATTGACAATGACATAAATATTGCATATATTCTCAGTAAACTAGAGGAAAATTACTGCATTTAGAATAAAAGCTGAGCACACATTTTGCAAAATAAAACTTTAAAAGCCTACTCTTTCAGATCTCAGACTAATCATTATTTCACCTCATAATAAGAACAGGAACTGTTATTTTAGTGTAACTTAAAAGAAATCCATAACAGAGAAGCAGCGTGTAATTTGATAATTTTATTTCAGTCAAGAAGAAAAAGCTCTGGCTTAAAAAAAAACAAAAACAAAACAAAAACCAAAACCCCACCTCTAATTTTACACGCTTTACTTTAGAACACAAAAATCTGCCTTAGTGACACAATCTACTCAATTTCTACAGGCTTTAACTATAAATAAAGTTACAGGTAAAGAACATGAAGAAAAACAAATCACTTATAACGGTTCACCACCAGGCCAGATTAGCTGGCATGTTTTAGGTACTTTACACTGCTCCAGTGATGCAAACCACCCCCAAACCTGGCTTGAGTTAAACCAGACCTGCAGCTGGTTTGCATTGCCAGAGCACTGCAAAGCAGCTGGAACTCGGCACTGAACCTAGCCCCCTCTCAGCAAACCTGAATCAGCAAATACTGTCTTTATCAAGAACTGCAGAAACAACTGAAAAAAGACTTTCCAAATGGAGAAAAGCAAATCTGGCGCTCTGTCTCAGCCCTCTTTGATTACCAATTGAACTCTGGTAAGACAACTACTGAAAAAGCTGTCACCATTGCTATAACCGAAGAAAGACTGCGCTGCAGCCTGGGTCTGAAAACATCATTTACCATGCTTCTCCAGGGAAGGAGGTGAGATGGTATATCAGGCTTCTGGACACCAAAAAACCTTCAACTTCACACTGTGCTTGTTGTACTGCAGGATTTACATGCAGCCCCCCAGAAAATCTACAGTTGGTATCTATGGTCCCAGTGAAAGGTGTTCCAGTGGCAAGATGCAAGTCAATACCTCCAAAACAAACTCAGTTTAATCATTAGCTCTTTTGTCACTATACAGACGAACAAAGGAGAAGTAAACCAAGTGTGCCACAGCAGTAAATGACCTGTTTAAAATCTCTCACAAGGATCAATACAAGTCTAGCCATCATTGATTCCAGATTACATTGGTATCAAAAAAGTTCTGGTGGAAGCCACCCTGAAAGAAGAAATGCAAGCAGTCAGATGGTAGGTCTAAACAAGCCCTGGCACTGTAGGAACACCATGACTGCTTATGTGCAGTAGAAAAGCCAGCAGACCAATATATTGCCTCTACTGTTTTCCCTGTTCAAGAAAGAATAAAAGGCTGGGAAAGGGGAAGTGTTACTTGAACTAACACATAACCCAGAAATCTGCAGCAGCTTTTTCACAGAATAGAGCTACAGGTTCTTAGCTGTTTTCACCCAAGGCTCACCATGTTATGTGCAACTGGGGAAGATGATGTGAAGCCAAGAGGATCACCTGGAAGTTGGCTATCTCTGGTCCAATAGGTAGAATGACAAAGCTAGGTCAAGCCATTAGAGAAAATGAGTAAGGACTGAGATAAGAGATTTACCATATACTTAGCATAAGAGCATGCTACTTTCACTACAAACAAGGGGAAAGTGGGATGACACGACCAACCAAAACCAAAAAACAAATGGGGGTTGAAATCAAACCAGTGTTTTACCTAACAGAGCAAATCTTCCTTCTGCAGCTTGGCAGTCAACAGCCTAGAGAGTCAGTTGGTGGAGACAGGGGAATAGATACTTGAAGAACTTATCAGAAGTTTGCATTTACCTTCACTCCTCCTCTAGCAATGGATATGATAATAGAACCTAACAAATAATGCAATAAAACCAGGGGCTTCTTTTTGCTTTAGCCTTGGAGGGGCATATTCATATTGTATTGTGTTGCTTGGGGGAATTATTCTATAGTAACTATGCCTGAACTATTGCTACAGTACATCAATGTGGCATGGGGGTGGTGGATTTTGCTTTTAATTTTTTAAATAGGATTGTCTGTCCCTGTGTAAGGGCATAAAAGATAAAAGCAGGCACCGTCCTCCTTCACAATTATTTCCAATTCTAAAGCTATTGTAAATGCGGTCTCAGAAAGAAGAATGACAAGTCCAAGACATGATGCTAGAAAAAGGTCAACAGCTTACTCCACTGTCACAACTTTGCAGACTTTTGCTGGCATGCACCTGAACTACACAAGCAGCAGCGCCTTCACCTCTTGTGGACTGAGTTCCTGATGTTCAGCATGATAGGTACCAGCTAACCAATAGTGCAAAGAGCTGAAAAGCATAATCTGCATTCAGTTTCCTTTAGAAAACATAATTTGGCATTCTATATGCACGTCAGGCAATTAAAGAAGGTAGCACAAGCCTGAGTGTTATAGCCCTGTTAATTTACTAATGCAGAGTCTCGCATACATCTGGCACATGTCACTTCTTTTCTCCTGGAAATGAAGGTGGTTTTCCAGGAGACTGGAGGGCAGCTCAAGCATTTGTTTCCTGCCTGATGCTTCAAAACATTATGCCTGAAGTTCCTTATGCCAGCCTTGAATCTAATTAAAGTCTGCTGATTTAATACCATAGTTTCAATTCTTCCTCTTAACAGAGTTTTAACTTGATGCTTTTGGTTTAACTCCTGCCCTAGAGTGTCCTGGTTATGAAATCCCTACCCTTACTCTTTACACTCCTAAATTCTACATCTTGCTATAGGAGAAGTGATGGCATTCCCTAGCTGATAGATCAACCAAATGAAAAGCCATCCTCTGCAGACCTCCCTTGCTGAAATCTTTGCCTGATCAAGACAGCTGCCCATGAGATGTTACCTTTCAGGAAAACAGACATTACTGTTCACAGGAGATTTATGAATATTCAGTGTCATAGAATCCAATCCCTCCAACTGGAATTAGTTTAACTGTTGTCCTGGGTTCAGCAGTAGCAGTCATGTTTCTCCTTCTTGGCAGCTGGTGCAGTGCTGTGTTTTGACTTCCAGCCTGGGAACAGTGCTGGTGATACAGATGTTTTCGGTTGTTGCTAAGTGATGTTTACCCTGACCAAGGACTTTGTGAGGCTCATGCTCTGCCAGAGAGGAGGGGAAGCTGTGAGGAAGCAGAGATGGGGCGCCTGACCCAGGCTAGCCAAAGAGGTATTCCATACCACAGCACGTCATGCCCGGGGTGGGGGGTAACTGGGAGTTACCCAGAAGGACACGGGCTTCCAGGTGGGACTCGTTTCTTGGCCGGTGGTATCGTATTCTCTTCCCTTGTTATTTTCCCTTATCATTGTTGTCGTTGGTGGTAGCAGTGGTGATTTGTGTTGTACACTGGTTGCTGGACTGTTCTTGTCTCACCCATGGGAGTTACACTCTTTCGATCCTCCTGCCCGTTCCTCTGGGAGCAGGGAAGGGGAGAGCCCCGGGGGGAGGCTCGATTGCTCTCAGCCTGGCACCATCCACTGGGAGTGAGTGAACAAGCTGTCTGGCTACGGTTTAAACCACGACAACTGTATACCTTAAGACACATCCAGTGGGCAGCAAGTTCTACAGTTCTACAAACTGAAACCTTAAAATCATCCAAGCAAGGAAAGAACAGGAGCATGCATCGCTGCTGTAATTGTGAAGTAGCATACATGTTGGAGGACTTTACTCAAGCCTGCACAAAATAAAGACGTCCTCTTCTCTGGGAAAAGTAACTGTCTTGGGCAGAAGCCTCTTCACCTCTATTACTGCTAAACACTACCACCCATGCCAAAATAGCAAGCAGATTCTTTTCACTTTTGTAAGTCAGGCAGAGGATAGGTATTGCTTCTTGTGTAGAAAATAGTGGGCAGAAGACTCAGAGCACAGTGTGGCAATAAAACATCCAGCTGTAGGCAGCAGTATTTAAGTAACTGCTTCTCTGCAGTGATTTCAGACTAAGCCAAATTGAGTTGGACAAAACAGCTTTTGGTTCCTTTTCACAAAATTCCTGAAACTCTAATCTAATCTACTATCTAGCTAATGGAGAAGCACATGAAATGGAAAAGGCAAGTGAAAAC